CCCCACTAAGTATAATGTTAGCTGTAGGTTTTTTGTAGATGCTTTTTGTCAAGTTGAGCACATTCCCCTTTATGCCTATTTTTCTGAGTGTTTTAAATTATGAGAGGGTGTTGAATTTTGTCATGCTTTTTCTGCATGTATTGATATGATTACATGATTTTTCTTGTTTAGCCTGTTAATATTGTGGATTATACTGATTCTTGCATATTGAACTGGATTTATATAAATCCCACTTAGTTGTCACATATAAATATTCTCTTTGCTAATGTATTTTTTAAAAATTTTTTTCATGAGTATATATTCATGAGAATATAGAGACCATTTTATATTCATGAGTGGTCTATATTTTCTTTTATTGTGCTGTCTTTTTCTGGTCTTGGTATCAGGATAATATTAGCTTCATAAAATGAATTGGGAAGTGTTCCATAAGAATGCAATCTCTGTGAAAGCAGGAACATACTTTGTCTTGTTCACTTAGTTATTTCTAAATCTTACAACAATGCTTAGAACATAGTAGATGCTTAGTAAATATCTTGAGCAAACGAATAGGCAATGTAATGTTCCCATGTCACTTAAAATTAACTAACTATTAAAATTGGAAGTTATAAATGGAACTGTTTTTTCCCTTCAACAAACATTTTTTTTTTTTGCTAGATGCTGGAGATGCCATGGTGATTGAAATGAATATATCTTCAGAGATCTTACAGACTAGCAGAAGAAATAGCAATAAATAACAAAATATATGTATATACATAAATACATAAATTACATAAAAAATATATAGTTACAAACTGTGTTGAGAGTCCAGAGAGATAAGCACCGGATGCTTTGAGCACAAACCCTAGAAGGACTAGATCTAGCAAGGGGTGTCAAGGAGGGTGGGGGGCTTTCCTGAGTTAAGATCTAAAATGTTAAGTAGATGAATACATAGAGGAAGAAACTTAGGACAGAGGGAGGAACATGGTTATGGCCTCAAGGTAGGAGGAACCACAGAATGTCCACAGAAGTCCAGAGTGGTACAGAGAAGGAAGGAGAACCATGAGAAAGGAAGCTGGGGAGGTCAGTGGGGTCAGACCATGCAAAGCCTGGGAGCTTCATTAATAGTGTTGGTCTTTATCCAAAGAGCAATGAGAAATTTTAAAAGTTTTCAAGCCTTGAAATAAAATTATTAGACTTGAGTTTTTAAATCTCACCCTTCCTGCTGTGTGGGGAATAAATTGGAAAGGGAAAAGAGTAGAGAATCTAATTAGCAGGCTATGGCAATAAGCAGGTGATGTGGCTTGTACTAGGCTGGCAACAGTGGCAAGAGAAATACGAGAGAAAGGAGACATACTTTAGTTCACCAGCATACTGAAAACCAAGGATATGATGCAACTATTGGAAAATCTGACAACTTTTGATATAAATGTCATTCCTCTCTTATTATGAGAACATATAGAAGAAATAAAATACTCTTTGGCATAAAATTTTCCAACTTAGGGAGTGGCAACAGCACACTCTAGATGTGTGACCTCAGGCAAGGTACTTAAACATTTCAAGCCTCAGTTTCCCCATTTTTTCAATGAGTTTAATAATGGAGTTGTTGTAAAGTGTGGTAGATGTTGCTGGTGGCCCCTAAATACCTATTCTCCCTGCCTCACAGAGTAAAATAAATGTTGGCCATCAAACAGAAGAATAAATTTCCAGGTACTTTGAAGTTAGACGTGGTTATGTGACAAAGTTCTGACCAATGGGATATAAGAGAAGAATTGTTTGGCAGTGTCTAAGAAGCTTCCTTAAGAGAGCTCTGGCCCCTTCTCTTTGCCCTTTCTCTTTTTTCTTCTCGTCCTCAATATTGCCACCTGGAAGGAATGCTTCCTTTGACCACAGAGCAAGGGCGACCCGCTAGGGATGACAGAATCCTGAGCTGGGAGGCTGCCAATCCCCAAGAAGCCCAAGAAGATCCCCAGGTCTGAATACTGCTTTTCTGTTTTGGTGTTTGTTGGTTTTTCTGCAAGAGAGAGAAATCAACAGAGAAAGACTTTTCTTACTAGCCCTCTAGCCTCCTCTTACCTGCTACATAAAGATTAGAAGATGTAATATACATGAAATGCCCAGGACATTGGAAGCCATCTCACTAAATGTTTTGTCTTCCATGCCTCTCCTACCAAAAAATTAAAAAAGAAAGAAAGAAAGAAAGAAAGAAAGAAAGAAAGAAAGAAAGCAAGCCCTTATAATTCTGTTGGCTAATCTAATAGAGAATTAGATTATATTCTTCCATTTTAGTTTTTCTTCGACTCTGGCAAACTGGAAAACATCCAGGAGAAAACTCTCAAGGAAGCGAGAGGGCCTGGAAACCACATTATAGAGGGAATGGTTAGTTGTGTTGCACTTGCTATTTTTAGACAAAGTGTGCCTATGAATAGGTGAGCGGGATCCTGTGGTCCCATCTTTTGTGCTGGGATTGCAAGTGGCTTACTAAATGGCACTGCTGGGGGCCAGGGCTGGTGCACTCAGCTGGGAGCTCCAGGGGCTTGGGAGGCAGTTGTGGAGGCTGGGCACTGGTCGGAATCGCCAATCAGCACAGAGATCGGTGATTTCCAGGGAGTCCCAGGGTCTGTGATGGTGTCTCAGGGGCTGCTGAGGAGCGTCCGGGGAGAGGGAGGGCTGGGTGCAGCAGGACAGGTATCTGCTTCTGCCATGAGGTCCTGGGGAATACAACTTTTAAAACAAAGATCAGTGGCTTCAAGTTTTTGAAATGTAGCAAGTCCTTTAGAGGACTTGAAGTCTGGACTGGAGACTAAGAAGGAAGCAATGCTGTTTTCCAATTCCATCTGCTCAGTGGCCTGCTCTTCAGAGCACCAGGTCTGTTTGAACTTACTTCCAACTTAAACCTAGTGGACTTCAGAACGGAGTCAGAGCTACAAAGTGTAAGTGAAGACATTGAAAGGGCAAATAGAAGCTCCCTCTGAAGGAAGCACGTAAGCTACATTCCTAAGTGCATATCGCCGTCCACATAAAAGGAAACTATTTGGTGGGGAATCAGTCATATCAGTGGGTGGATGTTGATGTTGGCAGTAATGCTTTACCACAGGAATTGGAACTGCTGAAAGGAGATTCAAAAGGATAATTTTCAAGTGGATGGCTTCTAGGCTTATGCTTATTCAAGTGGGGCTGGATAGGTGGGCCCAGGCTTCAGCTTTGTCCCCAACTTGCTGTGTGACTTTGAGCAAGTCCCTTAACCTTTTTGCGCCTTTCTTTCTAGAATCCTTTGTAACCAACCAATCAGTGTCCTCAAAAGGCAGCAAGGCCACACTCAGGTAGCTGTGTAGAATCTTCTGGGAGGAGCTATGAAGGAGATTGCTGGTGTTGAGGGGAACGTCTTTTTTCTCTGGTCTAATTTGGAGGAAGTTCCATTTGGAAGGACCCATTGGAGGACCATTTCTGGTCTTTCCCTGCCCCCTCTTGTACCCTGCAGGAGCTGAGGAGAGATTTCTCTCACTGGGAGAAGGAACAGAGCATGCTTGGCCCAGATCTTTCTTGTCAGAGTCAGTCTTTCCGCAGGGGGTATGAATTCTGGTACCTTCTGTACCCTCACCCCATCCTCACCGGAGAGGCTGCTTTATGGTAGAGGCCTGAGACAGTTAGTGCTGTCGTGACTGGGTGGATGCTATGGACTGAAAGTTTGTCTACCACCCCGCTCCCCCCCAAATTCGTATGTTGAAGCTGTAATCCCCATGGTGATAGAATTTGGAAGTGGGGCCTTTGGGAGATGATTAGTGTTAAATTAGGTCATGGGGATGTAGCCTCCACAATGGGATTAATGCCCTTATAAAAAGAAAAAGAAACACGAGATTTCTTCCTATGTGCTCACACCAAGGAAAGGCCATAAAAGAGAAAACCAAGAAGAGAGTCCTCACCAAGAACCTGACCATGCTGGCAGCCTGATCTCGGACTACCAGCCTTCAGAACTGTAAAATAAATGTTTGTTGTTTCAGCCATCCAGTGTGTGGTGTTGTGTGTGAGCAGATGAAAATGGTGGATAAGCATGGCGGACGGAAGAGCAAAAGGAAGCTCTTTTACAAGAGTTACAGCCCTGTAACTACACTGCCCCACCACCTTATCAATAATAAAGCCAGTATTTGATCTCCATCAGCTTGACTTCTCTGCCTTGTTTCTCAGTAGGAAGGGAAGAAAGGAATACTATGTATAGACACCCTAAACAACACAGAGAGTTGTAAGGCCCAGCCTTGTAAGGAAGTTTGGTGTGGTCAAACCCACTTCGGTTTGGAATTCCTGAGGCAGGATTTCCAGAATTTCTAGTCCAGGCTCTAAACCCCACTGCCTCTGCTGTCTCAGCCAAATCCAGGGGCTTTTCTGGCCCTTCATTTCTTCACCTGTAAAATGCAGATGTTTGACTATTTGATCTTTCTAAAGGCTTATGAATCCATGATTGTAATCCACACAAAGAAGGTTCCAGATGTACAGTAAGCCTTTTATCTCTGGGTAACTGGCAGAGACTCTTAGTTCACTATTCATTCTTTAGTAAGAAACTCCAGTTTTTACAGGCTGAGAACTGGAAGATACAACATTGGCTTCTCTTGAAGCTAGGGAGCTTTGTATAGAACATCTGAAAAAGTTTCTTAAGGAGGTTACAGACAGCTGTTAGGTCCTCTCTTGCCCTTCCTCCTTCCTCCCACTTCCTCAGAATGTGCAAACACTGGCTGGAGCCTCAGCAGCCAGGAAGGGCCAAGAAACCATAGTAACAATGGAAGCCATATGCAAAGGTTGGTAGAAAGACAGAAGGATCCTGGGTTGTCAGTGACGTGGGAGAACTGCCACATAAACCCTATATTGCCTGCCTCCAGATTTCTTTATGTGAAAAAGAAATGAAAAAGTCACTGTTTTTTTCTGGTCTTTGTTGCCAATAGTTGAATGAAATTTCTATTTGGCTTTCTCTTATAATGATAAATCCTTCAACAGGATGGAGCAGCTAAACCAGAATGGTATGGTTCACACAGTTCATCTTTAGAACAGAAATGTTTAATTCACATCCAGAAATCTGTGTCTTGAGGGGTCAGAGAAAATGAAATGCTCCTTTACTTTTGGACACTAGTGGTATCATAGAAGTGGAGATTCTCAGTTTCGATTGACCCCAATCATCAGTCACCCAGTTCAACCGGCCCAACCTAAATGGTTTTTCAGACATCTCTAATAGTTAACAACTGTGGATCCAAACAAAACCTGTTGGCCAAAAATTCTTTCAGGCTGACAAAATGTACTAGTCCCTGCCAAACATGAAATAACTCTTAGTCATTTTAAATGAGCACTCTAAAGCTTTGCAGTCAGGACTTCCTGTGTTTTGCACCCTTATGAAGTAAGTAGTGACAGGAAAATAGATATTCAGCTAAATCAAGCAAGTGACATTCCTCTTGAAGCATCTCAAGACGCTTTTGCAAAGCTCCTGGATTTAACAGAGGCAAGGCTTTCCATGAAGAGCACAGCAAATATTTCTTCCACATTACTACTGATGGTAACTGTGGCATTGTGGGAAGTGCCTGGACTTGGAAGTGGGAGGCCTGGATTGGAACTTGAGTTTTTTCCAAGTAACTCTGTGACTTGGGACAAGTCAGTCAGCTTGTGATCCTCTGTTTCCTTAAACACAGAACTGGGATATTGATATTTATCTCACATGTCAGGACTAAATAATATTGTAGGGGAAAGACCTGGCAAAGAGCCCAATGGAGAGGCAGGTGCTATTTCAGAAACATTATATTGAATCTATGTCACCAGATTGGTTGTCTGGAACCTAGAATCTTATCCTAGAGCGTTTGAATGATTGATTAGGTATATTCAAGTGTAGTCAGACTCCACCAAGACATTTGATGTTCAAATAAATTAAATTCTTGCTCTTGGTGGCCAAAGGAAGTGACTGACAGAGTTTGAGCCATGTGACCCGGTACGGCTCTGGGGACGACTTGCTGACAGCTCCAATTGGAATGTGTGTGTGGCCAATAGTGTGAAGGACGGGATTGGAATTAACTATCGAGTTTGACAAGTTTACTAATGAGCAGGAGGGTGTAATTCATTGAGGGAGGGAAAGCCCCATGCGGGGGGCTGGCTCTGTGTAGACAAGCTGGGAGAAGTGGGGTTTGGTGGCAATACCTCAGAAGGGGCTGCATTAGCTCCGTTGGCCAAATATAGAAGCCAGACTAGCTCCCGAGTCAGACCACCTGCTTTTCGGCGCTGGTAAGAGCACTGCTGTCTCTGGTGCCTACATGGGAGTTTTTGTGGAGGGCCTGAGGAAGTTCCAGATGAAGACAAAAGCTCCACAGCAATAATGCACCCTTCCATCCATGTGCCTCTCCCATGTGGGGGCTCTCTCATTGGATCCTTAAAATAACGACTGCGCGCAGCCAGGGTGGGTAGTCTTGTCACCTTTTTTAAGAGTGGGTAAACTGAGGAAAAGAAAAGTTGAATGAAGGACTGTTTGGAGGTGCGACCAGAACCCCGTGGGAACTTGGGTCTATTACGGGATTCAGAGACAAGGGCATGGTGCCTCATGCGTAGTTGGCGCTCAATAAACGGCCATTGTTGATGATGCTGAGAAAGGCGGGGTGGACTTGGAGTTCTTCCGCCCGGGAACGAGGGCATTCATGTGACTCAGTCGTGCTCTTTAAGGACTTGTGGAAGAAGCCGGCCAGCTGCTTTCCATTTTTTTCTGAGGACAAACCAAGAGGAAATTGGTTTCAGCCACATGTGGAATCTATACATTCATTCCGAAGTGAGCATTCTCTTCAAAAGAAAAAAAAAAGGAGCCTCAGGATGCAAGCTGTGCAAAATCAGTCAATAAAATAATTAAGTTAATGGCAGCCATAACCTGTTCAAATAAAAGCTAACCCAATATGTGCCATGGAAACAGCGTGTTTCTGTCACACGCAACTCAGGTGAGCACATTTTTAAAATGGGGACCTCTCATCTGATCCTCAGCTTGCCCCCGCCCACCTCCCCCAGTTCCTGGTGAATTCCAGGGGACAGGTATCCTCGTTAGATAGCGCCTGCCTTTGGGGAAGGAAGCCATCAAGAGGGCCGCAGGGCTTCCTCTTAAGATGATGATTTGAAGCCAGGACTCTGAGCACTTTGGGGCCATAATTAACACCTGTGACCCCCAGGTGCTGACGTGCAGCTGGAAACAGCAAGCCCGAGGCCCCGGTTCATAATTCAATAACCTGGTTTGTTCACATTGCTTTTGCTTTTTCCTGGGGCCTCCGGGCTCTGCGCTCTGCAGCCCTCTGTCATCATTCTCTCCTTTCTTTTACCTTTGCCAGTTTACTCAAATTGTCCCCATTGTTCCCATGGACCCACTGTGTCATCAAGATCAGTGCTTTCAAATGTTAATCCTCTGGGGAGTTGGTTCAGCTTCTGAATCAATGTGTCTGGGTGGGGCCTACGACTCAGTATTTCTAGCAAGCTCCCGGGGGATGCTGATACTGCTGGTCCTCAAGCCACAGGTTTTGTTGCAAGGCTCTGAAGTGTCCCTTGCTTGGAAAGGGAGCTTGTTTCCCTGTCCTGTACCCTCCTGGCCAGTTTGGAGGGCATGACACCAAGGCACCTGTGTGACCGGGATATAGGAACAGAGTTAGACAAAGCTAGATCAATGAAAACCTTCCTTCTGAGATTTGTTAGCACCAAAGAAAGCAGAGGAACATCCTATCTTGGGAAACTTTCAAAATTCTCTCTTTCTCTTGCAGTGGGTAAGTGTTGACCTTGGGTTCATCTAGAGCTGAGTGCAGGAAAGGAAATTATAACCAGACGTTTCTCTGAGCCATTACATTATGGAACCCAGGAAAGAATGATGGATAGGACCGAATCCCAAGTAATCAAACCATTGTTTGGTCCTCCTCAGTTTTGTTTTTTGGGTTTTGTTTTGTTTTTTTTTGAGCCAAATGCCAAAAATTCTAAATTACATATTTGAATAGTTTTGCATTTTCAAAGCAAAGCTCCAGCAGGGGGTACCTTCCATATACACATAGACTTCATCATTATAATGATTTTCCTGTTCTATGTGCAATGAGCCAAGAGAGTCTTCAAAGGCCTTTTACCAAAAATGCATTTTCCCCCTGAAATATTCATTTAAGCAATTCAGCTACCTACCCCAGGCTCATGATAAATTATTTAAATAATTGCTCTAATTCTCTGCTTCAGTTTGCTAATGTAGATCTGGCCTTTGCCTATAGATTTATTGCCAGCTTCATGTTTTTCAGGGAGCAAGAATTACTGAAGGGTTGATGGTTTCATTGAGGTTTACTGCTGAGGCATTAGAAATAACGCCACGTCCTTATATCCTACGACTAGAATCTTTTATGTGAGTCTGATTATCAGATGCAGTGGAGGACATCTCATGTGGGAGTGGTTGGTGAAGGAAAGAAATCTCTCAAATCACTGGATAAAAGTTACCTTATGGAGCTCTACATATTGAGAGCTCCATATTCAATTAGGCTGTCACATTTAGTTTTTCCAAAAAGCAACATAATATGTAAGTACATTTTCTAGTAACTTGCTAAACGTGATTCATAAGGAATGTTTCCTGTAGTATGACTCCATGTCTAATAAATGCCTGCTACATACAGCGGGGATCTTCCCTGAAGATGTTCCGACTCCGGAAAAACTCGTCTTCATTTTACTCAGCTTTGATGTGACTGTAGCTGGAGGCAGTTTGGTTGGCAGTTGCCGGGAGGAGGAAAGTTCGCAGAACCAGCGCAAGACTGATGTCTGAATGTGACTTGATGATAAGGGGTGATGATAATAGGAGCCCACATTTAAAAAATCCTGGTGGCATCCTAGGTCTCCAAGTGAGAGAAATAAGAAATATAACTGAACCTCAAGGACATCAAAACCCAAAGCATATGGCAGAATTATGGGCGAAGGAAAAGAGAGAAACTAAACCTTTTAGCGGCTGTGCGCGGACTCTGAACAAGGCTGCAACACAGACATCTAGGTAGATTCTACCTTGTCGCAAAACAGGCATGCGCAGTAAGTGGGGAGGTTCTCGCTTTCCATGGTGCTCGCTCCCTCCCTGAAACACACAAGCCGGGACTTTTGCCCAGGAAGGCGAAGCGCCTTCTATGTTCTTAACCTCAAAACTGTTTAAAGAGCTACTTTAAAAAAAGTAAAGGCTTTCAGAAACTCCATTTCTCATTAACAGGGACACCCTGTTGAAATTGTAGTCACCCCCAGGGCCACTACGATGTTCTATTTGGAAGCTCTCAGAGTCCTTCCTTGGACTTTTTATTACTCACCTAACAATCGGTGCCTGGAAGTTTTCTTTTGCCTTCAGTGACTTCCACCCCGTGGGTATTGCGACACTCTGGCTGGTGGAGCTGAACTTTTCCAGCCTCGTCGAATTTCTCCTGCTAAGCAAGCAAAGCAGACATTTGGCTTCTAAAATATTCCGTAATGCCACAAATATTTTCTAGATGGCTGGCCTGGGTTGGAGTCTCTTAGAAGGATTTCAACCTCACTCCATTATCTAAATTGTTTAATTTGAGTGACACTCAATATGGCACGGAGGGGGGGAGCATTTGTCTTCTCATTTAGTTATTGATGAGCTGCTGATATTTTCGTGCAGCTGAAAGGAATGGTTTGTTTATCTGCAACTCGTTCTGCTACCATTGCTGCAAGAAGCCGTTGCTTTGGAATCTGATGGCGATACTGGGCTTTGATCTCAACTTTGCTCCTTGGCCTCATTGTCTACATTCCAGCTTTTGCTTCCATTCACCCAATTGCCTAATCCAGGAAACTGGATGCCATTCTTGACTTGGCCTTCTCTGTTCCTGGGATCTAATGATGCACATAGAGAACCTAGTCATTTCTTTCCCCAACCACGTCTTACTTACGTCATTTCCCTCCACAGGGACTGTTGCCCTTGGGATGAAGCCCAACCATCTTAGAGCCTGTTAGCATCTGTTCACCTCTCCAGCCTCGTGTTTCCCCACTCCCCTCCCTCAGCTCTATGCTCCTGCCCCACCGAGCTGCTTCTGTGGTCTCAGATGTGCCATACTCTCCCCACAGGCCTTCAAGTGTGTTGTTCCTTTGGCCTTGAATGTCCCCTCTTTCTTCTCTTGTCTAACTTGTACAAATCCATTAGGCCTTGTGTTAGGTCATACTCCCACCTCAAGCTGTGCCCTCACTCACAGACATACCCCCTCCACAGCTAGCCCAAGTGACAGAGCAAAGCTTTCACTCAGGTCTGTCTGAGCCTTGAGTCCTTGTTTCATCCACTGTGTCATTCTACAGCTCCAAAGAAATACAGCCTTTGTCTTTGTCCTCTGGGGCTTGCCCAAGTTGGAGAGAAACAATTTTGCTTGCCTAATCCTGGCAGCTTTTCTCCAGTTGTATCATCTATGTCAGTGGTCATACTATCTGTCACTCAAATAGGATTTAACAACATCCTTCTATTCTTTCCTCTGCTTGCTCTTACTCATGGTAACCCCCATATCTAACATTTCTGGAAAGGTTGACAGTCACAGATTTCCCTATTTACTCTTCAAGCCAAAAAAATCAGTAGCCAGGCCCTTGAAGTTGGGATCCCTGAGCCCTGCTTGATCCAGTCTTGCTTTATGAATATACATATTATTACATAGAGGTAACCGATGAGTCAGGCCCGATGGGTTATTGTTTATGGATAGGTTAGTTGGGATCCCTGAGCCCTGCTTGATCCAGTCTTGCTTTATGAATATACATATTATTACATAGAGGTAACCGATGAGTCATTGTTTACGGATAGGTTAGTGTCATGGATAGGTTAGCGTTTCCCAAACCAGTATCATAAAGAGTTGTCATCATTTCAAGCAATATTTCATGAAAAAAAAAAAACCAAACCCATCTCTGGTCAAATATATCTGGCTAACGTGCTGTACTATAAACACCTCTACACTTCTCTAGGAGGTGTTTATGATGTGGGAATTCCTCTAGAATAGAAACCAGTTTAATAGAGATTATAAGTGTCTGTCTCAACATGAGACAGCTGGTTAGTGATGAAGCTGATAGAGAACCAGATGTTCTGTGACTGTCGCTGCAGCCGTTTATACAGATCAGGCAACCCTAGCCCTGAGTCTTCCTGGCTATAGATGATAGACATTTGGAAGATACAGTCACCCTTCCAGACCACAGGAGTCTAGGTCAGACAAGACAGACACTGTGGCATATTAAGCCAGTCACTTAAAACCTAATAGTCTGGTGAACAGAGAAAGATCACCTGGGAACCAGTCTCTGGATAATGATTCTTGATATCAAACTAAGTTCCCTGGCTAAGACTCTGTTACACAATAGAATTGCTTTGAGTTTTCCTCAGCTGTGTTCTCAGAGTAATCACATTTAAAAGAAGACACAGTGAACCAGACACCCATCTCGTAGGATGGCACATTGAGATCTGACAATCTATTTCCATTCCCTATAAGCCGTTCCTGCCATCTCACACGTGGCAGACAGATGCTGTGCATCAGGCAGCTATTTCCTGGAGCACGGTTTGCATTACCAGACATCTTGCTCCCCTACTAACTGTCAGGACTGTACTGAACTTTGTTAACTCCAATTTGATTACCTAGTATTAGTAAGCTAATAAATCAAAGAGTGGGTGTTTCCAACCGTAAGAAAATATAGACTCACCCATATATAGATATCATAAAGAGACGTTGGGCTATGTGAAAAATTGTGAAAAGGGTAGTTTTGAAAATGTGCTGTTGCTATAACAATTAGCAATTTGGTTAAATGTCTTTGATGTGGGCTCTACAGTGTAGTCAAAAGGCAGGTAGTGGAGGACATTGCAGGTGGGCAAAATGCATGGACATGGGGGTGTATAATCTCCATGAGCAAGGCTGCAAAGTTCTTACATTTCTTTCATCATTACGTCTTTTCCACTCATTGGGGTCTTTTGGAGCCTCGGGATTTCTCCTTGATTTCTATTTTCTTATTTATAAGCATATTCATACCTTTATCCTCATATTTTTGGAGTCTGAGCTGGTTCTCGGCTGTGTCTTCCACTTCACTATTTGGATTGGATGTCATCTGAAGTCTGTCGTTTTCTCTGTTAGGTTGTGAGCACTTGGAAGACAAAGGATTTGTCTTCTTTGCTTTTGAATCCCAGATCCTAGCATGCAGTAGCCATTAATGACTGTTTGCTGAGCAAAACATGATAGTTCCATATGCCCTCGTGCAGCTGAACTGGCCACACCATTTTGCATGTTAAACTTCTCTCTCGGTAGTTCTCTTAGGCAAAATGAGCATTGCATAGCACTGTTCTCAGGATTGTATTATCATTGAATATTAGAGTTGAGAGAAGACTGATCACCTAATGAGGAAATCAAGAAATTATGATTATAGACCAATATTCCTCATGAATATAAATGCAAAAAATCCTTAACCAAATGTTAGCAAATAGAATGGAGCAACATATAAAAGGATACTGCATCATGTTTATGGGCTGAGTTGTGTCCTATTACCAAATTTATATGTTGAAGTCCTAACACCCAATACCTTAGAATGTGACTATATTTAGAGTCAGGGTTTTTAAAGAAGTAATTAGGTTACAATGAGGTAATTAGGGGAACCCTAATCCAGTGTGACTTGTGTCCTGCTAAGGTGAGATTTGGACACAGACATACACAGAAGGAAGGCACTGGGTTGACCCAGGAAGAAGATGACCGTGTGCAAGCCACGAAGAGATACCAGGAATAGACCCTTCCTTCGTGGTCTGCAGAAGAAATCTCACCTGCTGACACCTTGATCTCCAGAACTGTGAGAAAATAAATTTCTGTCTCTTAAACCACCCAGTCTGCAGCCCTACGAAACCAATATGCATTATAACCAAGAATTAACGGAAGAAAGAAAAAAAAATCATATGATTATTTTAAATCATTTCAAATTTTAGAAAAGGCATTTGAAAAATTCAAAGCCTATTTATAATTACAAACTTTCAGCAAACTAGAAATAGAAGGAAATGTTCTCAATCTGGAAAAGGGCACCTACAAAAAATTTGAAAGGGAAACTTGAATATTTTTTTGGAACAGGATAAGGGACACCTGCTCTCACCACTTCTATCCCATATTGTATTGAAGGACATAGTGCAATAAAACAAGAAAAAGGAATAAAAGCCCCAATATTAGAAAGGAAGAAACAAAACTGTCTTATTTGCATTTGCAGATGACATGTTTACATATGGTAAAAAAAATCCTCAGGAAGATGCAAAATCACAAGTAGAATGAACAAATTCTCAGGATACAAGGTCAATGTGCAAAGAACAAATATATTTCTCTAAATAGTAACAAACACTTGGAAAGCAAAAATTTAAAAAACATTTGCAAGAGCATAAATCTCAAAATTCTTAGAGATAAATTTAACAAAAAATGTGCAAAACAATGTGTGAGATTGCTTTACTGAAAACTATGAAATATTGCTGTTCATGGATTGGAAAACTCAATATTTGCTAAGGCATCCATTCTTCCTAATTTCATTCAACATATTCAAAATACAGAATTTTGGGGTCAAAATCGATGAGCTGATTCTAAAATTTATATGGAAATGCAAAGGACCTAGAAGAGTCAAAGCAATCTTGCAAAATAACAGAGCTGAAGGACTTACAATACTTGATTTCAAGACTTTAAAAATTATGGCAACCAAAACATTATGACAATGGCATCAGAATAGTCTAGAAATAGTCCTATGTTTATATGGTCAATTGCTTTTGACAAAGGAGCCAATGCACTTTAAAAGGAAAGGTGTTGGAATGACTGGATAAATTGGATAAGTTGATGGGAAAATTTTAAAAGGTAGCATTTGTGGCCCAGAAAAGTTAAATAAGTTACTCCAAGTCACACAGATGGGCCAGAACTCCTAATTTGGTGGTTTGGAGTGGTTTCTATTGCCCATAATGCTTCTTTTGATAACAGTGTGGTATATTTGTCTTTAGTTTGTACGTAATGTAGTCTGAATTTATGTGGCTAGGTAATTTTTCTAGTATGTTTCTGGTATCTATTTCATTACAAAAGAGTGCTGAGATTTAACAATAAGTGTGCTCCCAGAATGGCACACACCTAACCAGCCATATGAGCTATAGTCTGAGTTAATCAAAAGTCCTAACAGTGGGATCTTGTCTCTCAAGGGTGGTCTTTACCTAGTACTTTCTTAATGCTATTAATACATACCTTTTTTCATTTTCTTTTTTGAGTTATTTGCTTTTTTCATGATGCTCGTGAAATGAGCAACGAAAAAGAATATCCTTCAACAAACTCTGTTTCTCTTATTTTGATCATTAATGAATCATAATTGGATTAAGGTAGAATTGGGTATTGAGGCAGATGGAAAAGAACTGACTGACAGTTTCAGGTCAGAAAACCGTGGTATCTGCACATTGCAAAGTTTTATATTTTCTGACAGCTTGAGTCCATGAGATGGGAGATTTTTATTTTGTAAATCTAGTTTGGATATCTTTTGAAAATACTTTTAAAAAAGTATCAGGTAAAAACCCATGTAAATATCACCAAGCATGAGAAAAGAAAACACTGATGATACTAGATATTTGTAAAGAAAGGGCACAATGCGCTAAGCAGTGGGGTTTTAGAAAACAGCCCAAATTCCAGATTCTTGAGCTTGATGGGTTCATGCCCTACATCTGCCTGGATGTGAGTTCTGATATGTCAGAGAGATACTTCGTGGAACTCTCCTACTAAGTGGGTTGGAACATTTCTAATACTTTGGGACTATGTAATATTTGCAGTTACAATTTCATAGGAATCTAGTATACTAGATATGGGAAAGAACTCTGAGATGTCGTTATCCAACCAAGTACAGAATATAGATGAAGTAATTAAGGCTTAGACAAGTTCATTGACTTGATCAGGCTAACGTAGCCAGTAACTATTCCAGGGAAGGAGTCCAGCAGGTGTTCTGATGCCAAGGGCAAAGCTGCTGTCATGATACCCTGACACCTTACAACTTCCATTCCCCCCTCCCCACCCCCAGCACACAGGTAGATTTAATGATATAAAAGAATGTTAAGTGGGACTTTTCTGGTCTTGGATTTTTTTTGGCTGAGAATAACACATATTAAAGACCAGGGTTGGCACTTACATTTGCAGGACTTGCTAAGAAGGTGGCTAAGAGATGGTCACAGCCCCACAGCCACCTCCAGCCACTTGGGAGAAGAGCCACCATTTGAGCACCTTCCACACAGAGGATACCAACACCTGGCCACCACAGAACCACTCCTAGAGGAATCAGAAGCAGCTCCTGAGTTGGGGGAGGACATTGAGGGAGGAGAAAAAAAGCTACTCCAGGTATTTGAATGTGGATAAAGTCTAAGCTGTGGAGAAGGGGAGAAGTTACTAATGAGATGACAAATGGAAAATTTTAATACCTGATTATGGGTCATTTATTAATATTTATTTATTAATAGCCAGAAGACCTTGAAAAAATTATGGGCTCTTTCCATATCAGGGTGGGAAAGGGGAATCTACCCGAGCAGCCTGAAGAGAGTAAAGGAGAGAAAGTTGCTTCCTGCTCCTGCTAACTGAGCTCAGCTGGTCCGAGACATTGGTTAAAATCTTCTGGGTTATTTACACACTCTTGAAGCATGTGTACAGAGCTCATCTGATCACACGTGGCTAAGAGGGTTTCCTGATTCGGGGGAGTTTAGAGGTCATGGGGAGATGGTTTAATCATCTTCTTGGAGACCCCACAGGGCTACTGCAGTGTGACTAATCAGGCCGCTATGAAGGAAAATGAATTTCTGACTCTGATTTCTGAGATATGTTGATAAAAATTTAAGAAGATAGTACAGAGAATTCTCCCATACCCTCTTACCCAGTTTCCCCTAACAGATTAACATTAGTATGGTACATTTGTCACAATTAATGAACCAATATTAATATATTATTATTAACTAAAGTCCATGCTTCATTTAGATTTCCATAGTTTTTACCTGATTTTTGAGATATGTTGAGTTTGTTTTGTTGGGCAATTAAGCTTCCAGAATAGTCTTGGTCATTGATTAGGAGGTGTGATTTTTCAAGGGAGGCGGCCCTAAATGGGAAGGAGTGTGCCTATCTGTTTGGAACCGCACTTCTCAATTATTGTAAACCTAGAATTCTAGTAGTTTCTTAAGTCATCCGAATTTCTGCAAGTATGTGTATGTGGTAAAGAAAAAATAACAAACAAGAAGACCCTTCATGAAGTGAAACATGTAAGAACTTTCGATTGTGTATAAAACTGGTTGATTCTAGTTAATTCCATGAAACAATAAAACTTTTAAATGTGACATCATCTGAAACTGGTACAATCTCTAAAGTCTGAATCTCTGCCTTAAGGTTTTTTTTTTTTTTCTATTATTTTTAGTTTCAGGGGAAAGTGTATTTTTAGTTTTCAAAAAATGCAATGATTGCATAAATTCTTTTCAGCCCTGGTAATTTGGTTGGCAGTCCTTCTATCTGTGTGTATGTAGATGGTGGGAACATAGCTTTCTGATGAATTATTCTCTTCTCCCTTTGATAAAGGACTTTAAAATATATTATCATTCTTTCTCCAAATAGAAGTGGGTCATTATTTCCCCTACATTGTTCCCTCGAAAAGATGGAGTTTTTTCCATGAGCTGTGCAGATAGGACTATCGGCTTCAAGCGTGCAATCAGCAGTGCCATATCCTTTCTCATTGTTTCTCATTGTGGCTCTAACCAGTTGAAAAGCTAGGGTTCAGGGCCACGCTTTGCTACCTAAGACTCTGTCCTACTTCCTCACTATGCTGGATGTTTACAAATTACATTCCTACCTCCCTGTCGGAATAGTCTCTGTTGGAAGAGTCTCTGTTGGCCCATCCAGAGTCATATTCTAACCCCTTTCTGTCCTAGAAGCCTAGATTGTTCAAACTACATAGACTGGTTCCTTCGATCTATGGCTTCTCATTGGATCTGCCCAGTGGAAAGCACCAGCAGGAGATGGGAAGGAGGAGAGTGAAGCTGAGGTATTCATTTTTGTGCCTCCCTCCAAGTTCAGTCACCAACAGTGGGTGATATCTCCAGACTGAGGGCATGGCTCCTGTCCAGGGCCCCTTTCTGTCCACGTGTTCAGCACCACTCTTTCCTTCTACCTTATCAAGTCTAGGGGTGGTGATGCACTGCTGTAACTAGTCTGGGTCAGTGCATTATCCCTTGTGGGTCCCTGCCTCTGCCCTTACTTCATAAGTTGTCCCTTGGTTATACTGTCCTCAACATACCCAATTTGAGAAAGACATCTTTTCTTTCTACTGGGACTCTAATATATTTTCTCTTTAATGACTCCTCATGAAGAAAATGACAACATCCTTTCCAATCCTCCAAGGACTTCTGTTGTCATTTAATTAAAACCTTCTTCAACTAATTTCTGTATCCCTATATCACTTTCTAGAATCTTCTATTACAGACCTTTGATGGTGAACAGTTGCAGAGCAAAGATTTATATTTCTGTTAGCACCCCCTAAACCATGAGTTCTTCCAGTCCGGGAACATCTGTGTGTCCTCATCACTTCGTAAAGAACTTTTCTAATATATAGACCTTTGCCAGTATCCATTTATTTGGAAAAGTCTTGATAAAATGCACACAAAATGAAAGTGAATGGGAATAATTAGTTGCTTACTGTGTTCTCCTACAGCAGTTATTATTTTAATGGGGATCAGTATAGCATATCAATTAGCTGATATAATCAATCAACCATGTCAATAATATGGAATCTAGGGCTTCAGACATGGGCCTGTTGGTGGCATATTTTGAAGAAAGGAGACCATGTTGAGGTCAACATTTGTTCCAATATTTTGCCAATGTCATTTTGCATCACCACAAAGTGGAAAATGAACTTTGTGGCCAGAGAGGCCTGTGTTCAGGTCCCAGTTCTATTACTTATGACCTGGATGACCTCAGGAAAATGATCTCTTTCCCACAGAATTCTTTTGAAAACTTGCAATATCACTTTTTCCCCTCTCCAGAAACAGATTAGGAATGCAACAAATATTATTCATTTGGTAAATATTAGTTTATTTTCTCTTCTCTTCTTTCAGACCAAATAAATCACAAAGGCCAAGAATTGTAACCCAAAGCAATGAAGAACCAACAACAACCAAAAAGCCATAGGGATCAGTAGTCATAGCAGTAAAGCCAAAACCAGTTCTGGGTTTTTAATTAGCTCTCCAATGTGGCTTCCTGTGATTTACCAAATGTAAGCAGCTTCTCTGGGAATTGGAAAATCTAAAAGCACATTTGTTTAGCCTAGACATTCTGTTACTTGGGTCAGAAACTAAAATCCTGTGATTCACATTCTCACAACAATAAATTTCAGATGTAACTTGATATTCTAATATCTGTTAAAGCTTAGGCAATAGCACATTTATTTAGCCAAAGTGGCACAGTTAAGTATCTTAGAAGCACAGATTCACCATGAAAATGAAGAAGAGGAGGCTTTCTGTTGGGTCCTAGAGCTAGTTAGTGGCAATGACATGATTTGAACCATATCTTATCTAGTGCTCTTTTTAGCATATTTTTATTTTTACATTATTATTATTATTATTTTTTGCCAGAGAAGAATGGTATTGAAAAATGCATTTGCAATTCTTGGCAAAGGCAGTTTTAAGGACTGTGATGCCCTTCTTTCTGTTAGCTTGGGAAGGCTATATGCATTAAAATGAAACCATTTATCTTATGGCTTGATAGGTACGGAGAGTAATGGATTTGTGTAATACCAAAATAGCCAGTCAGCTCCATCAGTTCAGGGAAACAATTGGGAGCCCTCAGGAAGCCATTAGCCCAAAGGTTCATTTAACTGAGTGAGCCAGTTTATTCTAAAAAGCTGCATCATTTATCCTGGGTGGATTGCATCCAGCTAGGAGAATGTGACTTAGGATTTGCCAGTGACTGCATCCTTCCATTTGCTTCAGTGGACTTCTCCTTCAGCTCCTATCCCCATCAGAAAATTGACTGTGGAGATATCCATGGAGAAGTGGTCAGAGCCAGAGGAAATGGAGCCATCCTGCTGCCATCTTCTTACTTAGCAGGTGCTCAAGACATTTACATTGAACCAAGATGGAGAATTGTGGCTTCACTTTCTGTGTGTGGGATTTTGTGCTGACCTGGAAAACTCAAGCGGTATCTCTAAACTTTCAGCCAAGCTCTGCCTGTGCTGGTAACGTTGGAATTATTCTGAAGTTGGAACAAAACAAAAAAGAGAAAACATTTTAAAGCAAATGAAGTTAAATTTGCTTTAAAATGTTTACTTCACAGACACTAAGGGTGTTGATTTTCTTTCGGTCTGCTTTGTCCATTTCCATTTCTGTGGGAATTAATAAAATAGTGGCACTGAGGGGCGCCTGGGTGGCTCAGTTGGTTAAGCGACTGCCTTCAGCTCAGGTCATGATCCTGGAGTCCCGGGATTGAGTCCCACATCGGGCTCCCTGCTCAGCAGGGGGTCTGCTTCTCCCTCTGCCCTCTTCCCTCTCATGCTCTCTGTCTCTCATTCTCTCTCTCTCAAATAAAAATAAATAAAATCT